TCTTCATTTGATCATGGTGGATGAAATTCAAGAGGCTTTTTCATAGCTTAACAAGGCACCTGTGAGAAAATCCACAGGAAGGTGACTGAGAAATGTATAAAGCTAGAAGTTATGTCTACAGTAACAGTCAATGAAGTGATTTTTTTATCCCTCCTAGCAGTGCAATAGATTGTTTGATTTTCCTTCCGATTTACACGTATATAGAATTAATATGGTTATGTAACACCTCCAGCGGTTAGATTCTCACGTTAATGAGCACAACATAGTATACTCCAGCAGTCATGCCTTCTATATTTAAACTTAATTGCTCCGATTCCATTCATGGAAGATAGTTAAGAGTGAACACTGACTTCTAAGCAGTAATGAAAAGGTGGTATATGATTTATTAACTGAACAATATAAAGGATAGACTTTACTGCATGTTAAAGAGATTCATCACAGGTTGAAATCAAATAATTTAAATAAATATCATTAAGTTCTTTTTATCATATATATATGGTTCATGCCAAAAAATAGTTCAAAAAAAAAAATCATGAAATGTAATTTTGTACTCCTCTGACTTTAACACTTCATCTTTCAAATAATTGATGAAATTAAAGCAGATGGTTAAATGTTAATTTGCAAATTGCACCCACAGGAATTCATATTCAATAAATATAATGTTTTGTGCTCTCTATCCCTTTGTTACAAGGGATATATTCACACAACACTGTTGTTGGAGACTGATAAAACAAACAATTTAAATATTTGCACACCAAGGAAAGTCTCCGTTTTGTAATGGCCAATGTCAGTTTTCATGACAACCCAATATTTTTTCAGCAGTGAAGTATAATGCAGAATATGAACTGAATAATTTATCAATATCTGTCAATAATTCTTGGCCTGATATATTCTAGGTATGTAAATATGAAATCATCAACTGTTCTCAATTTACTCTGTATCTCATCCCAGCACCTTCGGCAAGATTTTCATCATGTGTCACCCCCAAGGTTTGTTGTAATTAAAACCTTACAAGAGCACTGCAAAATTGATTTCCAACACAGAAGATAAACAAGCTGTAGATAATCTCTGTGACTAATGCAATACTCATCGCGTAATAATTGTAACATTATTTTATAGACACACAGTGTTTTATCTTTCCTATAAGTATCATGATAATTAGTACTATTACATTTCCTTACCTCATAATTATAATTATAAATATAACCAAACCACATTCAAACTATTTTTGCAACTTTGTCCCCTTTAATACCTACCCCTTTATATCAACATATTGAAGTGAACTAAATATACATGTATTTATATACAAAGTTTTCCTCAAATAATTCAGGCATAGTCATCTTTCATAGTCAAAGACATATATTTACATCCAATGATACTTGTCATCTATGCTTATAATAATAATAATGATTTTCTTCAATACAAAATAAAGTTTGATTCCAATTACTAGATAGATATATGCAATGGCCAGTTTTGAACACTTGATGCAAAAACTAGATCCCTGTTAAGCTATACAGATTCATGTATTCTTCCTACTCAATCAGTGGCAGCAATGTCTGTATCGATCAGAATTTGTACAACTTATCATATATGTTCTATACATTACCTACATCTCAATTCCTCAGATTCTTAAGAACATTTTCCTCTAGAATGCATTTTTCATGATGACATGGGTCTGTGACAAATCATTGTCTTTTGTGCCAATATCATTTGTAAACTGACGTGTACCACTAATTTCTCCAAAACTGCACAACACAAAGCTCCAAAATGATCATACAGAATCTTCATTATTGGCTTCAGCAAGGATGCTGTATCTTTGAGGATTAGTTAATAAGGTGAAGCTAAGTCTTGTGTAACCAATTTATAAAATGTAGGAGTGGAAAATTATTATGATACAATGGAGGATTCAGGTTATAAGGTGTCAAGACATTCAAAACTTGGAGCAGAAGTTGCAAATGATGGTGACATTATCTAGGGCTTGTACAAAAGATCATTAAGCATTTTCTATGAAGTAAAATAGTGGGCCCATCTGGCGACTTTTTTCCTCCACAAATATCCTATAGGTCTCTCAGTAAATAGGGAAGGGCCCAATTTTAAGAAATTGAACAATAAGAAATCCAGCTTGTCACTCTAGGCTCCTTTATAACAAAAGAATTCGGTGCTAGAAAATGGACCAATTGAAGATTTTAGATACATAGTATGCTGCAGTCATCAATTCATGCGATGCTGATTTATGCATTCGTAATTACTTCATTGGAAGGTTCCCACAACAAAAGAGTGCGATATAAATGGACCTGGGTTACCAAGGAGGCCAAATGTCTCAAGACATAAGACAGAAAAACTTCTAGAAGACTGCGATCATGTCAGCATTAGTAGGTATTGTTTAGGAACAGCAAGGGTCTCCAAATTTGCACCTGCCGGTCATCTTCATACAATTCCACTCCCTTTGACCGTGTCCACAGTCAATGGCATTGAATATGTATCATGCATAACTACCCTCTCAAGTAGCCAGACCAGTCAAAGATGAAGTAAACATCCGTTGCTTAATGAAATACCATAGTAACATATAAATAATGACATGGTATGATACCTGCCTTGCTGAAAGCCTAAATTTTAAATTGCAATCTGAACTGGACATCTTTCAGTGTGGACAATGGACTGCCCTTTGATTCCATTCAAATTAAAGGCTTAACGTTTAATCAAGGAGCTTTGTTAAACTTGATTTGTGACTTCCACAGGTACACCAGAGATTTACATACAGGTTGGCATTCACACCTAATACATTCTATATATTTGACATTCTGGTGACCTTCTGACCTCTTTTAGATTAATTTTAATATTAACATTTCATACATACACTGGTGGTTTACTTCACCACATTTTGACCATAAAAATATATTCCTCAGTCATACTATAGATCAATCCAATTGGAACTGCATGGATATAGCACAAATCAGAAATTAACTTTGAAATGCAAATTAATTAGTCTTTAAATCTTAATCTTTTAAAAAAGTACGTTTATCAGTGTTTTTTTCAGTTCTATATTTGCAGAAAAAAAAGATTGCGAAAACATTTTTCATCTTATAATAAGAACAATCCCTTTCCTGGGACTTTCCAAAATAACATTGCTTGAAATTAATTTGATTACTTTCTACAAAATGAAAACCCACTCTGTTTTTACTTAAAATTACAATATTGTTGCCCCAGAAAATGGGATATAAAACTGTTTAATCTAGCATTCGAACAATAGTATGTCAAAAATATCATTTCACTAGAAAGCAATTCATTTAAAAGCTTTGTGTTATCTCTGGCTATAGATGAAATACAAGAGCATTTTTATGAGTAAATTCATGAAGAGGTTTATGATGCCGCTACTTCCTTTTATCTATGCTCACACATTTGAATTCTAATCAAGACTGCCATACTTCATTTAACTTTGATAGAAAATGATGCTGAAAAATACATAAATAAATTCTGAAGCACACTTGCGACAATAAAAGATAATATACCAGCACGGAATAAAAACAACATACTTCAAATTGAAGGAAGTTTTCGCATTGATTTTCCATTTAAACTCATTCAAGTATGCAAAACTCATCTAGGGGTAATGTGCATGGAATATATGGGACCAAACTTCCAAATCTCTGCAAATCAATAAAGTTTTATTCAAAGCTGCAAAGATTCATGTTGCAAGAGACATAAAAGGACTAGAACATTATGCAATCATATGTTACAATTTTATCTGCATTTCAGGCACAGTTAATATGACACACAGAAAGAGAAGTTTAAGACATAAATGTACAAGAAACTCATTTAATTATTTAAAACTTGCAATCTGCTTCAGCTCAAATCAGGAATTTTAGTTAAATTGTTTCGAACTCTGATTTAGCAATTCTGCTTGAATTTTGCTGTACATAATATTCTTTTACTTTCCTTAAAAAAAAAAAGAATTAAACTATAAACAAATTCCAAATCTGAAAATATTTCTAAATGCAATATCAATCTTGGTTAATTTAAACAATTTATTTTCTTAAATTCAAATAACCTTTGATTCTTTTTTTCCCTTCTATTCTCATCTTAAACCTTTTGTTCCAAGCAGTAATTATGTATGAAGAGGATACATCCCCAATCGTAACCCCCTTCCACATCATTAAGTCTTAATCAATATTACAATTTTACACACATAATGGTTTCAGTCGTCTTTTACCCCTTTTGTCTGCTGTTCTGCATAAATTAAACAGTGACTAATAAACTAAACAAAGAACATCAGAGCTATCCAAAATGTGACAAAACGTCCCAATATATCACGACTTCCAGCAAAATCGATAAACATGCAATAATACGATAATTTCTTGATGTCATTTATTTCAATAAAAACGCAAGTTGAATGCAAAACTTTAGACCCACTCTGTCATATTCTATAAAATATACTTGTCTTGTTCTCGGCCGCTTACTAAATCGATATTGTAGTTATATTGCGGCTCCTTTGTGTTAAATAGCGTACGTACGTCGTAATATACAAACCCGATATATTTAACTATCCAACGCGCGAAATCTCTTTGTCACCAAATCGAAACTGAATTACAGTGTGAATGTTTTATAAATGACTTTTATTATAAAATTAGCAATGCATTAAATGAAAATTATTAAAAATTGTGTATTGACATGGTTCATTAATGAATTGTTAGCTATGCACTGCACGGTAGCACATGTGTCCGAGAACAAAACAATGAGTGACTCCGAAAGTGTCAAGCACGTGCCACCAATTGATGTTGAATGCAGAAAATCACTTCCGGGAAAAATAAAACGCAGTTTGAAAATTGAAAGAAAAAAGTCATGAAATCTTAAGTTTAAATCTGTGAAGAGTGACAAATTCGAAAACTCACCAAAAGGCTTCCAATTTCTTGACAGATGCTCTTCGGGTCCCTAGCGCCATATCTTATTTACCGACGATCAATCCAAATCGAGGTGGTAAGTAAGCGCATGCGTATGTAAGATTTGTTTGGAAATGGCCTGCTATCTCGTATGTCTTACGACAGCGGGAGGAGTGCCCTTGTTCACAAGGACAGCAGATGATTTGAAGCCTGTGGGTATTATGGGTAAAAATATAGATGCAAATGAAATGAATCAAAATTACTTTTAAACAACAATCATCAGTATACTTTAATCTGAGGTAATCAGAAAGTGAAAGTAGCATGCATAAGGAAGGGGATGTAACTCAGTAGACCTATTTTGACCTCAGATAGATGATGAAATTAATATTTTTTTGTGTGACGAGCATGTCATCTAAATATATGTGCTAGTCTTCATTGTTTGATACAGGAGCTACAAATATGTAAGACATTGTAAGCAAAAAAAATTTCAATATTTACAATTTAATAAGATTTTATCAAAATAGTGTATTGTAAAATCATATAATTAATTATTAAATTTGATCTTCTAAATTTATTTTGTCAGTAACCAGTTAAAGTATTTATATAAGTTTCAAAGGCACACCCTCCCAGAAGAGAAATTGTACCTTAATTGGACAGGTCTTTTCACAGTCTGAATACAGTAAAAGTAAAACAGCCCAGGTTTAAACAGAACACCATCATTTAGCAATAGAACATAATTTATTTAGACCCTGCCACATTCTAGTACTTTTTCTACCATCCATCTTGCATATTGTTGCATTTCCTCTCCATCCTCTTCAATTATAATTATTTTCCTAAGTAAGAGAGAGAGAGAGAGAGACCCGGGTAATTCTAAGGAGATTTAATAGAAAACTGGTTGAAGCATACAGGGATTTATCAATACTGTTTTAACTAAGTACTGGTGAAAGGTACCTTTCCCCTTTAAAAATTTCAAAAATCCCCTTTTTAGGTATGAAAAATTTCCTCATCAATTAACATACATGTAACATTTAAAATTTATGATCATGATGATAGTTATAGAAATATTAAACAGATGAAGCTCTCAGGTTGCAGATTTTTTGCAACATTTATCTGAAAATTTCCAGAGGGGCTTGCCCCTGGACATCCATAGTATATTCATACCTCCATCACTAAATGTTTCTTTTTGTAAACGTAATCATTTTCCCCCTTTAAGTGAAAAGGTAGTTAAATAAAATAGCTAGATAAATATCTGGCATATCACTTGATATATTTAGGGGTAAATAAAAAAAATATTTGATAACTTTATTATTTGTCAGTTTGCAAACAAAATCCATTCTAAAGATGAATGATGTCTGTCCATTCATTTCTCTCACCATCCTCCCCAACAATTATGTTTTATTAGTTCTATTGTGGGTGACATTATCATAGATTAGTGTAATCTTCAAACATCACTAGGAGAAAGATCAGGATGAGATCTTTGAAACATTACCATTCACATTGATGTTGACCTTGACCCTTGAATACTGTATATTAGGGTTTAAATTTGTAGGGCTGGGACGATATATCGAGATATCGATAATATCGATTCAATGTGAGGATGATACGCATATCGATACGTATGAAGAAATATCGACATATCGCCCAAAAAATTCTGACTTGTGTTTTTCTTTGTTTACTTAACATTTTGGGTTTAATATATAAAATAAATATGCTTAATATAAATATAAATATGAAATACATAATAATTAAGACCACTTGTGCAAAATAATTAAGTTTTACAACAGATATGCAACTTCTTTGAATAAATTATTCTTATTTGTGAAGAAATGTTTTGTTCATTTCAATATAAAAAAAGAATTTATAACCAATTAAACATATCGTGATACATATCGTATCGTGGCTCAAATATCGGGATACGTATCGATATAGAAAAAGTTGTATCGTCCCAGCCCTATAAATTTGTGGGTGTTTATATCTAAATTACATAATTACATATTTTGAAAATCAACACCACAATTTATTTTGCCTTCTTGCCTAATGAGATTTCATTGAAATGGTTTAATTAAATTTATCGTCACTGGAATTTTTCTTGGTCTTGACATTTGACCTCATTATTGGTCAATTTTAAACATTTACCCGAGGATGTGGATTTTACTTTATTGAATGAATAGTGATTTGGCCATATTGTCTTCAGTTATTCTTTTTTAGGCTAACAAATCCCATATGTGTATGGAGATCACAGAGTGTTGGATATGGGGATACTCTTTCTCCATCTTTTTCCCCTTCTCATTTTTCTGTTTCATCCTTTCTTTCCCCCTCTTCTCCTTCTCCCAGTTTTCTCTTTCCCTGTTTATTCTCAAATAAGATATACAGTCAGACCTCGTTAACTCGAACTCAATGGGACCAAGAAAAAACTTCGAGATATCTGAGGATTCGAGATATCCGTAGTAAAATACTTAAAGGAAAAGGGGTTGGGACTTCCAAATCACTTTGACATATTCATGGTACATGTATTTGAGATATCAGTGTTCGAGATACCGAAGTTCAACTGTAATTAGTTTCTTTTTTCATTGTTTCAGTTTAGAGAAGAGATAATTAATTTTCACAAGAAAATTATTTGCTAACAAATTATCATTCTTAAAATTTTAGGCTTTTCCAGATTGTTAGAGATGAAGTGTAATAAGTAACATAATTATATACTTGTGTTTAATTCAGATTTGTAGTTATTTTGTCGTGATTTTTCTGCATTTTAGTTGCCCTTCCCTGTGATTGGTTCCATAAATGGTGTCCATATGTTTGGTAGTTCACACGATGTAACTCTTCAGTCTACAACAACAGAAGATGCCAAAATTATCTGGAAGGTTTTTCATGATAGGTGATATGCACGTTATTATTTATATTCTGTAAAACATTGGTTAAACCCATGAATATATAATTCCATGAAATATTGATAGTATTTTAAGCTTGTAGCTATCATATTTGCTAAATGTTATTTTCATGGTAATATTCTCTTATCAATAATTATGGAATTCATTGTAAATTTTGCTCAGTGTTTATATACAGTCTGATAACAGACTGCAATATAGATTTTTGTATTTACGTAGACTAATGTTCAATTTTGTATTGTTACATATAATAATATATTAATGACTTGTTTGTTTTTGACCAGACCATTTAGGAAATGTTTATGCAAGCTGTTACACTAGAAAAAAAATGTGACACTGTCATTTAAAAATTTTCTTTAGTCTCAAGAGCAAAAGAAGACATTTAAATGAAGATACTTAATATAGTGTAGATTTAAGTTATTCAGATCCCCTGTGCCCCTTATGATGGGGCATAGCAATAGAGCATCAAAGTCTGACATCAGAAGATATTTTAATAAAAAAAAATGTTCAAATCATGACCCTCTACCCATCCTCCTGGCTGAGGGTGGGAGCCACAAAATGGGGACAAAGGTTGAAAATTAGAATACATAAGGAAAAAATCTTTTTCTCAAGAACAAAATGACTGCTGTTAGTCATATTGATTTAAAGATATCCCCATGTTGTATAAATTCAAGTGTTTTTTTTCCATTTAAAGCATGGTCTCTGGACTAAAGATGGGACAACAATAGAGCCCAGGGTCAAATTTTGACAGAATGTATACTATTTCATTCACATACAGCTGTATTATCCTCTGAAGAACAGATGGAATACAACAATTAGTGATATTAATTATTGTTGTGAGGAATCAAGTTTGATTGACATAAGAATATAAAAGTAAAACTCTTTAAAATTTCTTCTGATGAACAGGAAAGCTATAATGTCTCTCCCCCCCTCCCCCCCCCCCCCCCCCCCCCCCCAGGAACCTATTTTTGGGCAACAATGGGGGGATCAAATTCTGACATAGAAATGCAGAGCTCCCAACCTTACGATTAAATCATTTTGAAGTAAGGCTTACAGTTTGAGCATCAAAAGTGCACCTTACGATTTCACGATTTATTCTTCTGATTTCTGTTTTTCTCCCTCAAAGTTTAATATACCAGAATTTTCAAAGCTGTCAACTTTCATTTTGCACTATTATATTAAATCATAGTCCTTACAGTGCTTGCCTGTATTGTTTTTGCTCATTTCTATGCTAACTTGTGAGCCTTATGAATTTTTATTTCATGATGTTGACAGCTCTGAATATGAAGAGAAAAATCTTCTTTTAAGAACAGAAGGGTACATTTAGTAATATTAATATAAAACATTCCCATGCAGTGATGATTCAAGTGTGTTCATATCATGGTGTCCCTTGAGCTAGGATTGGGCCACAAAAGAGGTATCAAAGTTTAACAAAAAAATATATACTTCAGCAATAACGGTAGGCTTGACTTCAAGCTTTAATATTCTTAAATAGAATTGCTGAAAACATGGAATTTAAGTTGATGGCTAGACTAACGGGATACATATCATTTGTCAGAAAGGTTAGGTGACTCAGGTGAGCATTGTGGCCCTTAGGCATCTTTTTCAAAATTTTTACAATTCTGTCTGATCATATTAAATTTCAGTAAAAATGTAGACTGGATCAAGATACATGACAATACATAAATTAGGTTTCTCAATTCATATTTTGATATGCAGTGTAGTAGGTATCAGTGAAAAATAAGTCTTTGAAAAAAACTTAAAAATGACTCATCATCTGCTCCTTACTGTATGATTTAAAGGAGGAAGTTTGCTTCTTCACAGAGAAAATGAATAATTTTAACAGTCATCTGAGAGTTATTATCTGAGTTTTTATTCTATGAGGCATGCAGTGTTTTTTTTTAGAATCTAGTGATTTTTTTTTTCTGATCAAAGTTTGTCCGACATCCTTCTGTTAGCCATTCTGTCCATCTGTCTTAACTTTTCACATTTTCAACTTCTCTAGAACCACTAGGTCAGTTTCAGCCAAACATGACATAAACATCCTTGGATGAAAATGTTTCAACTTTCAAGTACTGTAAGTTGAAGTTTCTTCTAAAGAAAGGTCGATCATGCTCTCTTCGAGGGGGAGACAATTAAGGCTTTGTGAAAATAGGGTCATTTAAAAAATCCTTTTCTTAAAAACTACTGAATCAGAAAAGATAAAAGCTTTATATTTAATGTGTAAAGATTCAAATCTGTTCAAATTGTGACCCCCAAGAGTAGAGTCGGGTAACAAAAACAGATCAGCCTTAGAAAGAAATATATAGGGACATTTACAGTAGTGCATCCCCATGTAGTGTAGATTCAAGCTTTTTCAAATCATGTTCAAAGTTTGTCATAATATATGGAGAAAAAATTTAAATTTTCTTCCTCAGAAAAAGTTAAAATAGAACTGCATTTAGTCATATAAATATGCAAGCATCACCACATACTTTAGATTGTATTGGAGCTAGGATGGGGCAAAAATAGGTGATAAAAAATGATACAGGAATACACTTGTACAGGAAAAAAAACTTTAAAATTTCCTCAGATTCAGAAGAGTCACTATCAGTCATCTTAATATGTGCTGGTAAATATCCATGTGTAGGGTAGATTTGATTTGTTCAAATTTTGCCCTTGGATTAGGGTGGGGCAACAGTAAGGGATCGATGTTTTACATTCTAATAATATGCAGGAAAATTTTGATAAGAATGAGTCTAATGGTAAGATAAATCAATAGATTTAGCATTTCCATATAATGTAGACTGTATTTAGTTGATTGCTGGGTGTCAGTTATCTATGATTTGTCAGGAAGATGTCTCATGTTAACATTCAGTGTTGACTTTTGCAGTATAACACTGATAACTATTGCACAGAAAGATGACGTAGATGACTGCCATTATAGTAACCTTCTGAATTTGACATTCAGTGTTGGGTTTTGCAGTATAACCCTGATAACCATTGCACAGAACGATGACGTAGATGACTGCCATTACAGTAACCTTCTGAATTTGACATTCAATGCCATGGTACTTCTGGTAGGAATAGAGGAAGTCACAAACATAAAAAATGTAGAGAAATTCAAAAGAGAAATTAAGGTAAAGTATGTTACAATATTCTAATTTTCTAGGGGTTTTTTTGTGTCTCTATTTTTAAAGAATTTTGGTTAAAATTAGTACAAATGGTACATGCAGCAGCAAATTGAATTAATTAAATACATAAAAAAATGAAATACAATTCTGAAAAAAGGTAGGATGTTTCCATTTGAACTTGAATAAAATGTATGATGTACTACATCTTCTCTAGGTATGCTATAATTTGGTGGACAGAATCCTTGGGATTATGGGAACCTGGGGTTTCTCTCAGCTGACCAACACAGCAGAGACAATAGCAGCTCCAGAGAATGCGGTGTTACAGGTGCGTAAATACTGACATATTCAGAGAATGCCATGTTACAGGTATGTAAATGTTGACATATTCAGAGAATGCTGTGTTACAGGTGAGTAAATACTGACACATCCAGAGAATGCCTTGTACAGGTATGTAAATACTGACACATCCAGAGAATGCTGTGTTACAGGTGTGTAAATACTGACATATTCAGCGAATGCCATGTTACAGGTGCGTAAATACTGACACATCCAGAGAATGCTGTGTTACAGGTGTGTAAATACTGACATATCCAGAGAATGCTGTGTTACAGGTGAGTAAATACTGACATATTCAGAGAATGCCATGTTACAGGTATGTAAATGACATATTTAGAGAATGCTGTGTTACAGGTGAGTAAATACTGACACATCCAGAGAATGCCTTGTACAGGTATGTAAATACTGACACATCCAGAGAATGCTGTGTTACAGGTGTGTAAATACTGACATATTCAGCAAATACCATGTTACAGGTGCGTAAATACTGACACATCCAGAGAATGCCGTGTTACAGGTGTGTAAATACTGACATATCCAGAGAATGCTGTGTTACAGGTGTGTAAATACTGACATGTCCAGAGAATGCTGTGTTTCAGGTGTGTAAATACTGACACATTCAGGTTGCATGCTAACTCCTCTGGAGTGATTTCTATGATACATTTTCATTGTATAGGTTTATAATGTTTATAGGGATGTCTTCAGTATTTACTCAGTTATTGAGGTGACTTATCTTGTACATTAATCGTTATATGTTTTGCATCATCCATTAACTTTGAAACATTTTCAGCTTTTTCTCCAACACAGCTGTACAGCAAGAACAATGTTTATTAACAGAACATAAGTTCTAAATATGCTACCCCAGTTTACAAAGCAAGAAACATATTTTTTTTTTTTATAGTTAAGTCATACAGATTTTTTTTGACATTTTGCATACACAAGAAGTGTGTGAACAAAATATGATCCTCTAGGCAGGCTGAGAATTGATAACATTTAGCTATGCTATACAATGGGAAAACAATGTTTACTTATTTTATTTACTGAAGCTTGATGGAAAATCTTCCATTTATCTCTATTCACTTCTTGGCATATACAAGGGTTATTAAAAAAAAATACATAAAAAAGATTAATCCTTTTCAGATGTTTCCTTGTGAGATTTTTCATGCTGTAAACTCATGAACTAACTTCAAACATCTGATTAATGTACTTGTAACAAAAGACTCTAATTGCTGTTAAGTTCATTTCTTGAAACAAGCAGATGCATGTTTGTTTTTTTTGCTTTGTATATCAGAATTTCTTGGATGCTTTTACGGAGGCAGCAGAAAGCGTGTATGGTTGCTTGTTCATTGATGGGAAAATTGCTGTGGCAACAAAAAAATGGTGGAGCCTCTCAGCCAATGAGCTTGTATTATTGTCCCTTCTGTTATCCTCCCTGACAGCGTGTACATCCAGAGATATCCCTGTGTACCTCCCAGATAACCATCCCACGGTAAGTGTCACAGAATTATACAAACAATGACCTTGCTTTTTCCTCTTAATAAATGTTGGTCAAATAAATATATTACAAAGGTTAAAGGTTCAAATATGAAGAGTTAAACAGATTTTTTATTGTAATTAAATGGAGCAGGGATGCTATATCTGTAGGTTTTTCACTGAATATTGGGAAATATGCCTGCCCAGTGTCTTTGTGTGGTAAAGCGGATCGAGCTTGCGAGCTTTGCATCCAAGCAAAGACCAAAAGCAGGCATATTTCCTGATATTCAGTCAATCACCTTTTTATTACATATTTCTATAGCACTAATACATTTTTTTTTTCAAATTCACATGAATGAAATCTCTCTAAATATTTGGTCTTAAACATTCTTACAACATTAATAACTTTCAGTTCATCGAATGTTTGTTTCATTAAGAATGGAGAGATGGGAGAATATATTGACATCACAAACACAAAAGTAGTTCCTAGGTATTTACAGTGCGGGCCAATATGACTCTGTAAATGCCCGGGTACTCTCTATAGATTCTTTTGAGAAATATATCAAAACGTGTAATAAGTTTTTATATATTGTCCCCTGATTAAGCATCAGAGGGATTTTGCTTCAGAGTATGTCCCAAACATCAAAAGCCTTTTAAAACATTTTGTATTTTGGTTTTAATTTTGTCATATTTATTAAATGCCTGGAAAGTGTGGTTCCAATCATTTTTGTTGTGATCAAATTTCCAGGTTTTGGTAAAATGTACAATATTGTACTAAAATTAATTTTATAGTTTGTTGAGCATCATATTATGTGGTATGGCTCGACCCCAAAAACAGTGAAAATTGGTGTTCACAAAAAATTCATGTGAACACAAATTGATGTGATATTTGTGACTCAATCTTCATCCTCTTTTACACACAGGTACCCCACCGACTAATGACATTCCAGTTGACACGAGGGATAGATGTTGTTGTTATCTGTGGACCCTCCCCCTCACTTCCTGAACTAGAGCCAGAGGTAGTGTTTACTATTGGTCCTAACAATCTGTCTCCTTGTCATCTCTCATGTATTCCTTATGCAGACACTAATGACCTTGACCAGTCCTTTCATTTGCTGGAGATTGTGATGCAGTGTAGTTTGGGGAGGGGGGATACACTTGTGGTGATATATATACATTTTAAGATGTCCTAACATGTTTTACACAGAATAAAGGTGTGATGATAGATCTCTTGATGCTGGTTTACAGATACTGAGATTCTGTGATTGATTGATCTCTTGATGCTGGTTTACAGATACTGAGATTCTGTGATTGATTGATCTCTTGATGCTGGTTTACAGATACTGAGATTCTGTGATTGATTGATCTCTTGTTGCTGGTTTACAGATACTGAGATTCTGTGATTGATTGATCTCTTGATGCTGGTTTACAGATACTGAGTTTCTGTGAATGATAGATCTCTTGATGCTGGTTTACAGATACTGAGTTTCTGTGATTGATTGATCTCTTGTTGCTGGTTTACAGATACTGAGATTCTGTGATTGATTGATCTCTTGATGCTGGTTTACAGATACTGAGATTCTGTGATTGGTAGATCTCTTGATGCTGGTTTACAGATACTGAGTTTCTGTGATTGATTGATCTCTTGTTGCTGGTTTACAGATACTGAGATTCTGTGATTGATTGATCTCTTGATGCTGGTTTACAGATAATGAGATTCTGTGATTGATTGATCTCTTGATGCTGGTTTACAGATAATGAGATTCTGTGATTGATTGATCTCTTGATGCTGGTTTACAGATACTGAGATTCTGTGATTGATTGATCTCTTGATGCTGGTTTACAGATAATGAGATTCTGTGATTGATTGATCTCTTGATGCTGGTTTACAGATACTGAGATTCTGTGATTGATTGATCTCTTGATGCTGGTTTACAGATACTGAGTTTCTGTGATTGATTGATCTCTTGATGCTGGTTTACAGATACTGAGTTTCTGTGAATGATAGATCTCTTGATGCTGGTTTACAGATACTGAGATTCTGTGATTGATTGATCTCTTGTTGCTGGTTTACAGATACTGAGATTCTGTGATTGATTGATCTCTTGATGCTGGTTTACAGATACTGGGATTCTGTGATTGATTGATCTCTTGTTGCTGGTTTACAGATACTGAGATTCTGTGATTGATTGATCTCTTGATGCTGGTTTACAGATACTGAGATTCTGTGATTGATTGATCTCTTGTTGCTGGTTTACAGATACTGAGATTCTGTGATTGATTGATCTCTTGATGCTGGTTTACAGATACTGAGATTCTGTGATTCATTGATCTCTTGTTGCTGGTTTACAGATACTGAGATTCTGTGATTGGTAGATCTCTTGATGCTGGTTTACAGATACTGAGATTCTGTGATTGATTAATCTCTTGTTGCTGGTTTACAGATACTGAGATTCTGTGATTGGTAGATCTCTTGATGCTGGTTTACAGATACTGAGATTCTGTGATTGATTGATCTCTTGATGCTGGTTTACAGATACTGAGATTCTGTGATTGATTGATCTCTTGATGCTGGTTTACAGATACTGGGATTCTGTGATTGATTGATCTCTTGATGCTGGTTTACAGATACTGAGATTCTGTGATTGATTGATCTCTTGATGCTGGTTTACAGATACTGAGATTCTGTGATTGGTAGATCTCTTGATGCTGGTTTACAGATAATGAGATTCTGTGATTGATTGATCTCTTGATGCTGGTTTACAGATACTGAGATTCTGTGATTGATTGATCTCTTGATGCTGGTTTACAGATACTGAGATTCTGGAAGCCCGCATACGATTCTCTGAGGTCTGTGCTGAAATTGAGCTCCAGAAACTTTCCAGCCAACATAGCATTAGATCACAATACTTTAGGGTAGGTCTTAAGAATTGTTTTGTGTAACATTAGACAATTATACCTGTGTTCAGTAATTAAGTAGTTTCTTTAATTTTTCTTTGTCTCTTCAAGATTAGAATTCTGTCAGTCATTCTTACCATTTTTCCCCACTTCCCACAATGGATACAAAAGTATGAGGATTGCTGATTTTAATTTCTTGTAGATTCTTGTTGATAAACAAAGAAACCAATCGCTGTCTCTGTAGCATCAACCCAACTTTCAGTGGAGGACATCCAGGTATGTGGACTATTCATACATGTACTTATCCCATTTTAAAACCTTCAAATTGTTGTATCAGTGCACTAAGTGAAGGGGACAGGTACAGGTCGTGTTTTAGGTAATGAGCACCTATTCACTTCAACCTGGATATAATGTGTACATGTACGTATATGTTACAGATGAAACTTTGAGTAGCTCACAGAGAAGAGAGGTGCTGAAATCATTCTACAAGAGAATGGTAGGGACATTCTTCTCCTCAGTTGTTCCCGGCAGTGATTCAGGTATTGCCACAAAAAAGCTTCTTTTTATATTGTACTTTTATTATCAGTTAGTTTGAAATTTTGAATACTGATTCTTTACAATGGTTGCTTAAAAAAATGAAAACGATAAATCAATGATTCTTCTGAAAATGATAAATCAATGATTCTTCTACCAACAAGGTCCATCAGAATTCAGTCACCAGACAATGGAGTCTTACATCACCACGGAAACTCACAAATGTTACGCATTGATGTCAGGGCCTCACCAGCTCTTTGTTGTGTACAGTGACAGTATACCTACATATGCCATGAGGTAATGATACTTACATATACTGATACCTAGTGAAAATATCTAGAGTAACAAATTTGGCAAAACATAATTCTGGGGGAGACAAGTACTAATCATCGATGAACTAAGTTCATTTTGAATCCCGAGTAAAAACTCAGTACATTAATTTGTACAATGCTATTCTTTCTACATTTTTTGGTCACCTGAGTCACGCAGGTGATTCGGTCACTTGAGTCACTCAGATGACTTATTGCTATCCGTGTTTGTCCGTCGTTGTGTACCTTGTGTGTTGGTCGTAAACTTCTGAACATTTTCAAATTCTTCTCAGGAACCTCTGAACCAATTTCAACCAGTTTTAGCATATAGCATCTACAGTTGAAGGGGGGAAAATTGTTTATTTCATGGTCCCCACTCCCTGGGGCCTAAGGATGGGGTTAAAACCATCAAAATTAATTCAATCTTGAAAAATCTTCTTCTTTACTCCTGGACTTTAAGCAGTCAAACTGTTGGCATGATTTTAATAAGCATTGATTCCTCTACCAAAGTTATGAAATTTATGGTCCTGGGCTCGGGGTTCTCTAGTTAGGTGGGGCTTTATTGATATAGTGGAAATGCATAAATTCTTTAAACATCTTCCTATCTCCCCCTGCATATGAAGTAGATAAAATAATGAGCAAGGTGCATAGTTTTGATGAGCCAGGATGTCTCTTCCAGGATTGTAAATTTCTTGGCCCCTGGATCAGGGTTCTAGTGTAAGGGAGAGGCTCTATTGATTATACATTGTATATTGAAAATTCTTTGAAAATCATCTTCTCTGCTTCTGGGTATTAAGCAGATAAACTAATTGCATGGTTATGATAAGCAAGGGCACCTCTTCCAAAATTGTGAATTTCATGGCCCTGGATCAGGGGCTCTGCTATTGGGGGAGGGGTCTGTTAATAATATAATGAAAATCTATTATTTCTTTGAAAATTTTTTCTCTGCTCCTGGGTATTAAGCAAAAAACTAAATGCATAAATATGATAAACAAGGGTGCTTCTTCCAAAATTGTACAGTTCATGGCCCCAGGGTCAGGAGTTCTGGTGTTAGCTAGGACTGTTGTTCTGCTGTTTGGGGGGGGGGGGGGTCTATTGATTATATAGTGAAAATGCATTATTTCTTTGAAAATCTTTTTTTCTCCTACTCCTGGGTATTAAGCAAACAAACATAGTGCATAGTTAGGATGAGCCATAAATTTTGGAAAAATGCTACTCCTCCTACAGTTTGTGTCTGATTTCAGTATCATTTTGCACACAAGTTAACTACACTTAGGTTCATAATTCTGTGTATCGGTTTTTGATTTTGATGAATGATGTTGCCATTGTTACTGAAAATAGAAATTTTTGTAAAATTTGCTCAAAAGGCTTCTCCTACAGTTTTAGTCTGAGTGCAATAAATCTTGCCACAAAAAGAGACTAAACCAAGATTCATTATTCTATTTATTCTGTTGCAAAGTTTCAAGTCCAAATGTTACTTTTCTCTTCCTTTATTATAAGTACAAACCAGTAGAACTACATTCTCGTCAGAGACTTCTGGTTTTTTAAAGTAATGACATAAATATGCAATTATATTGTACTACAAAAATGCAAACTTAATAGTGCATCACACAGCAGATTGTGTAAATCCACTCGTCCCTTGGGAGTAATGTATTGTAATGAGTAGTTGGGCAAGTGTCCAGTTAAAATTAATGGGTTAAATATAGGAAGGCTGTCTTGATCATTTTTGGTACAGCATCTCTGTTCAAGCAGGTGTTATCTATATCTCCTGGGAATTGGGCACCTAAGAATTAAAGATCTGGTCACTCTCTTAATTGCAATTGACAGCATGTGTCAAATTAAAGGACATTAATTAATACTTGATGGTCAGCCTTTCATTTTCAAAATTAATTTTGTATAAAGTTATCAAGACTAATTTGATATTATATAATATTTTTATTTTATTTTATTTCTCAACAAACAAATTGCACAAAGATGACAAATGGTTGCTTTTAAGTTTAATAATCTAATAAAAAACAATATAATGATTAGTATTTTGATGTTTTATTATGCTGTGGCTAAGTTTATCACTTAAAAGACAAGAGGCCCTTGGGCCACAATGCTCACCTGAGTAACCCCAAGATTCTCTCATGTAAGTTTATGCTTTACTGGCCCAGCGGTTCTTCAGAAGAAGATTTAAGAGATTTTTCCTACATATTTCAATTTAAAACTTGGATTCCCTGTTGTGGCCCCACCCTACCCCGTGGGTCATGATTTGAACAATTTATAATCTACACTACCCTAGGATGCTCCCATGCAAGTTTTAGCTTTTCTGGCCGAGTGGTTCTTGAGGAGAAGATTTTTAGAGATTTTCCCTATATATTTCAATGTAAAACTTGGATTCCCTATTGTGGCCCCACCCTACCCCCGGGGGCTATGTATTGAAGCATTTATAATCTATACTACCCTAGGATGCTTTCATTAAAGTTTCAGCTTTTCTGGCCCAGTTGATCTTGAGAAGAAGATTTTTTAATGACCCAACCCAATTTTTGTCTTTTCTTGATTATCTCCCCTTGTAAGGGGGTTTGGCCCTTCATTTTAACAATTTAAACTTCTCTTCACCCAAGAATGCTTTGTGCCCATTTTGGTTAAAATTGGCCCAGTGGCTCAGCAGAAGAAGTTGAAAATGTGAAAAGTTTACATGGACAGACAGACGGATGGAAGGACGACAAACAGCAGGTGATCAGAAAAGCTCACTTGAGCTTTCAGCTCAGGTGAGCTAAAAATACAATGAGCAATTAAATTTTGACTGTCATTGTAACAAACTGTGAACACCTCTAGATCCAAAAAATATCTTTAGTGACTTGGTACCTTTTCTGAAAATCAGTTGGGGGATGGGGGGAATTTGTTTGTTTTGGACAGTTATAGTTTTAACTTGTCATATTTTACTATTATGCTTGGCTTAGAGAAGGAAGATACATTTCTTTCCATGTTGCAATTCCAATGTACCCTTGGTTGGGACATTTATGTCCTATGGGCATATTTCTATTTATGTCCTATGATGGGTTGTGTTTGGCCTTAACCATATTTTGTCCTTTTACAAAATTTTATCATTCTTTATCTATTTATCTTGCAGATCAATAACACATAAAACATTAGCATTGCTGACCAAAGACAGGAACATATCAGTCTGACCAAACAATTCCACTGTGTATGTATTTACAACAATTCATGTGAATAAAGATGGAGACAAGGTAGCAGCTAGTTCAAAGGTCATAGATGTATGGGTGTTTTCAGAGGATCTACATGTAACATACCAACTTTGAATTCTGATATGCAAGATCCTCAACAGTAATACCAAGGGAAAGCTGTAAAGTTGCTACTTACATGGTGCATCAGCAGCAAGAAGTTTGTCGGAGAGTAAATGTCCACTTATGTTGGACTGATTTTATAAAAGGTCTTAATAGTTCTCATTAGTTAATAACAGAGAGGATAAATATGGAAAATAGAACAAGAACATTTGTTATACCTTTAAAAAAATGTTCCTATATAAATCAATACTAATATAAGTCTAACATTTCCAATGTTTTACTGAGCAGGCATAAAAAAATCGATGTTTGACCGCGGAGTGAGATATTGGACCTGTGGATGAGATGTTGGACCGCTTATGTCACACAATGGGCAGGTCAGCTAAATCTCATTTGCATTCGTTGGTGTTCGACATACATATATGTCAAAAAATAATTATAAATTTATAAATAAAAGGTATAACAAAACATTTATTGACTGTGTTCTCGGGCAAAATTGTTTTATCGACCCCTCAAACCAAACTGTTTGCCTTCGGCCTAACGGCCTCAGGCAAACAGTTTGGTTCTTGGGTCCGACAAAACACATGTTGCCCTCGAACCCAGTCAATAAATGTATAATATAATATAGTTTTTGTTCATTTTGTACAAATGTACTTGAATATTATTCATGAAATGGAAATGTAGTTTTTGAGAATTTTTGACTGTTAGAAAGTGGAAATCGAATATTGAGTGTACTTTACCTTTTACAGATAGTAATATATACTGACTGACGTATGGACTGGGGTTGAGGGCAACATTGATTATGTTAGCTCCCAAGTGATGAAATATTGCGGATTTGCCCTACATGGAATGAAGGGCAATATTTTCATCCCAAGGAGGCTAACATAATCAATGTTACCTGAAAACACAGCCAGTAATTGTTTTGTTACAAATCAATAAAATGGTATTTTGTTTTTGTTCATTCACTTTCAACATCTCATTGGAAACAGATTCATATAAAAAAAATAATTTATATCTCATGCATTATTTTCAGTTTGACTGTGGTGTTAGCTAGCAAATCTTGCCATGATTGTTTTACATAATTAGGTCCCTGCAAGAATTTTAGGGTGCCCTATAGTAAACTGTCTGTCATTCTCCCATCCACAAATTTTCTGTTTTTTTTTTCCTAATAACTTTTTTTTTACAGTTGTCCTATTAAGTTCAAATTTGATATCTTGGTTGAATAGACAGTAAGACATATTTTGATACCAATTTTGATTGTGGATCTCATCTGGTTGGGAGCTGGGGTGGTGGGATAGATTCCTAATTTATAGGAAAATTTTCATCAGTTATCTCTCTTTGCCCATTAAACTGTATTCCGTGAAAGGTGCAATCAATCCCGTGATTAATTAATCTGCCTGCTGCAGAAAAACCTAATCTTTACCTTCACATAAGATTAATTAACACCTGTTCAAGTTATGCTTATTTGAAGTTACGGTCAGCCTGGGTAATGTTTGTAATCACTGAAGGGAGATTATTTTTTAAATTAGGATACTTCAATCTGGTTCAAATACATTTTATTGAAATATACATGTAATTTAATGGAATTGAAAAAAAATTCAAGATATCACATTCTTATTGCTGCCTTGTGTAAATTCAAGGATACTACCGTAAACCTGGAAATTTTTACGTCGATTTATTTTTGCAAATCTGGGTCAAAAAGGTGTTGATTAATTTTTACGTTTTAAAATTTTGCGAATTGTCATCGTTGCTAAAAATAAAAAGCGCTTAAAATTTTCATAACAGTTTGTAAGTTACGTGTGTGCATATAAAGAATTACGCATTTACATACAATGTCCTTTTTTTCGTCGGGGTTTCATTATACATGAGAGTAAGTTCTTCGTTAACAATCTGTCATGCTAGGGATTCGTTGTTAGATAAAACAAATGGCATCTCTTTCTTTGAGATATAATTTTAAAGAGACATACTGCCTGTCAAACCATCGGGCGATATTGAATGTAGTTAAGGCACGGATTATCATGGGTAATTAGCATGTAGTGTAAACAGATTTCTTAAAACGACCACTGCATACAAATTCTTGTTTACCAGGTTAAAAATAGACACCAGCTGTCAGCAAAATTTTTGTTAACATTTTTCCTTGTTGATTTATTTTTAAGAAAAATATTTTTGCGAATGCAATGCACGCACAAATTTGCTAAAAATTTATCTACAGCAAAAATTTCCTGATTTACAGTATTAATTTTTACATTTAGTAGGACAATAACCTCATTTTGTCATTGCTAAAATTAAGTATTCATATTGTGGATGTAGAATAAAAGATATGAGAGTATAATGAATCCCCTGAGATCATTAATCTTGCCTTCTGCAGAAAATCCAGAGGCTTATCTTTTTCTCTCACATTATGATTAATTATTATCTCTGTCTGCAATATCTATTCTGAAGTTAAGGCCAAACCTGGGGGATGTTTGCATTCACTCTTTTAAAGATTGGTATTTTATAAAATACATACTTCAAATTGGTTCAAACATGCACATAATTGAGTAATTAATTTTATAAGATTGTCTTTAAAATTTGTAAATTAAAAGGATACTATCAATTACCCACAGGTAGTTGGATTATAACCTCATTTGTCAATTAGAAAATTTCTTTAAATTTTATAATTACAGTTACTGTCTCACATTCTTTTTCATATATCTTTAATTTTTCCTTTATTGAATTATCATAAATCCACCCCTTAAGCTGCATTCTTTTATGTATATTTATCTGCGGGACCCTTGCTGACTGGACAGCTTTCTAGTTTTTTTTTTAAATTGTGACAGGTTTTTTTTTTTTTTTGAAGTAGCGACAATATCATTATGTCACAATAAATTGATCTGCTAATCAAAAAAAAAATAATAATAATAATGTGTGAAAACTCTCAACGCCAGTCACTTATAGTAAAAAATTAATTGGCCAACATTATCAATAGCTAATATCAATTTTGTTGACTTTTGCTCTACAAAGAGACTTTTTTTTACTGAATATAACAATTCATAATATATATATATATATATATATATATATATATATATATATATATATATATATATATATATATATATATATATATAGACTCACATGACAGAGAATCCTTCCTAACAGCTATTAGTTGTAGAATTACACTTTGTACATTTTTTATTCCATCTTGAATGATGAGTGATTTGAAGTGATAGGCAAAGTATTGCATTGTGGCATGTTAGAGAACTAGTGATAGTACTTGGTTGAATGGTTTCCCTTAGAATGTTACTTGTTTGAATTCCAGCAGTCTATTCTATCTTGGACAAATCAAAAATCAGACATCCTAGAGATATATATGTTATCATATGGCTAAGAAAATCTTCCTTCAGTAACAATGAAAAAATAAACTTGAATTTGTCTGTTTAATGTATCAGTAAAAGTTACATTAGCAGAAGACATAAATGAGTATTATACAAAGCCTATTGTTCATTATAAACGATTGTTAAAATTTCTGATATGTTTCATTAAGACTAGAGGGAAGACAAAATGGAAATAAATATAAATCAAATTTCCATGTATTGGTCGATATATAATGCATACCTCAATGCATAAAATTATTTACAAATTTACTATAATTTTGTACAAGACAAAAAATTCTGTCAACAACAAGCTACCAGTACATGTATTCTCAAAACTAATTTTTGGCAACCATTGTAATTGGTATAAATTCAATGCCCTATGATATAAACAAATCAAATTTGGTTCAATTGAAATTATTTGAACTATATGTATAAATATAAAACACACACTGTAACATACATACGTTAGTGGTATTCATATTTTAGTGCCTTTCTTGTCTACTTATTTATGTAGATGCTCTTAATATGATTAAACTAATACTTGTTGTTAAAATTCTTATGCACTTAATTAGTTGAAGAAGATGGTTGCCCTAAATTTTGAATACGCTAATTTATGTATGTTTACAGTATACGTGTAATGTATCAAGGTCAAAAAATGTCGATGCAGTTGCATAGCTCTCATCAATATCTATCAGCATATGAAGTTTGATAAAAATATCTTGGATAGTTTCTTTGAAACTGAGCTTTGAACAGAGCTAAATGCAAAGTGTGACGGAAGGACATCACAAACACTATATGCCCCACAAATATTCATGGCGGGGCATAAAAATATCTAATTAGTGATACCCAGTGGATAAAAGATAACCATGACTGTAATTAATTCATGACAATTGTCTTCATTCTACAATGACAATAAATACATTTCTGCATTCTAAATAACAACCTTAAATCCCCACAGCATAAAAATATTTAGGTGAATGTTAAATAATTTACATTTTTTCAAATTATGAGCACGAAGCAAACATGCTTTTGTGAAAGAAAACCTTTTCAACTCTGTTACAATATTGTACTTAAGAAGCAAATAAGACAACACCAGCAAACAAGGAACAGTCTGAAATGGTTAAAAAAACCTTTTTGACTCTGTTTCAATATTGCACTTAAAAGCGAATTAGACATCATCAAGTAACAATAATCAGTCTGTTATACATACTGTAAATCACTTTTTTTATTCAAGAGAACTTTATTTTCATTTAATTACGCTAGGCCGTCTCCTCACAAAAATTTCATACTCGTGTATATTCTTATTATTAAGGATTATAATAAACAATAAGAATTTGTGAAAATTTTATCTGGCTAATAAATGTCATAATTATGTCTTTTTCACAAAAATAAAGTGTCATGAATTTTTGGAGATATACAGTAGGTGAAAGAAAAACTTTTTGATTCTGTTATGATACACATGTATTGCACTAAAAAGCAAATTAGACATCATCAACGAACAAGGAACAGTCTGAAAAAGGTTAAAGAAAGAAAATCTTTTTGACTCTGTTACAATATTGCACATAAAAAAAAGGCTAATTAGACATCATCAGTGAACAAAAAACCGTCTGAAATAGGAAATAGAAAACAAACAGTGGAACAGGAACATTTCAAATGTGTATCTGAGTTTTCTTGACAGTATTTCAACAAAAGAAAATGCTTGGTACAACATGTACAATTCATATACATGTATTCCAAAGATGAATGAAATTTAAAAACGGAAATTGCACAACTGAAAATTCCAAGCTTTTGGAATGCCTTTTTTGTTTAAAAACTGTAAATATACATGTACAATCAGAATTAAACAGTTATTACTGTTTGTACATGGACTTTATGAACACAGCTGGCACACTCTTCCTTGACAACAGAGCTTGTGAAATCCATGACCTTTAAATAAGAAAGGAATATTCTTAACATAATGAAAACATAATGAAAACTACATATATAATGTATTATACTTTTGTCAAGTTTAAAAATACCCTGTGTCTCATTTACTCACTTTCCAAAAAAACTATTTCATAAATTAGCACAAAAAGAAGTTGCAAAATTTTAAATTAATCAATTGTAATTTGGATATAATCTTAACACAGAGATAACTGCTGAGAGATGTAAAGAAATCTTACCACAAACAAACATCAGAACTCCCGGCTCTACGTGGGAGATACTCTCAGTCAATGCAACATTACAGATCCTACAACACCTGTAAAAGCCATGTATAAAACAATTAGTACTCATTATTTATAGTTATTTTATAACTAATGAAATGTGTTTATTCTAGTTTTTGTTAACAAGGACACACCTGAGGACATTAGTG